ATCAATTTCCAACTTACTAACCTAACGTTCGGAGATAGTATCATTCATTATACATTAAAATACGTACAAAATTGTTCATCTGAGATTTTTTGTGGATACTGGTACCTGATCCTTAATGGCAAACCCTACTATAGACTAATGTAGAAACAAGTGTAATGTGGCCTTAACAACGTTAGTCTCAAATATAAATAACAAAATACAGTCAACCTGTTACTTATGTGTAGGAACAATTGGAACGTGACCTTCCCAGTGTTAGTCTCTTATATACACATACTACTATTTATGTAACTAGCTGGGGTACCCGTCGCTTGGACGGAAGTTATGTAAATTCATGATTAATGAAAGGTTATCTTAGGATATAAAAAATTGCTTCTCTTATATTGTAAAAAAAACGCCTATAAAAACTGCGAAACATAAAATGTGAAAACACAACTTTGTATGTATCTCCGCATGGATCCAAGAAACTTTAATGCCAAATTTGGTGAAGATCCGTCAACAGGGGACGAAGTAGTAGTTAAAAAACACAAAAACACTCATAAAACCCGCAAAACGCAAGATGCAAAACTGAAAATTTGTCTGTATCTCTCCATGGACCAAATGAACCTCCATATCAAATTTGGGGACTATCCATCTACAGGTGGCGAAGTAGCGGTAAAAAAAAAAAAAAAAAACAACGCAAAAATGCCCATAAAAACAGCAAAATACAAAATGCAAGACTGAAAATTTGTATGTACCCCGTGGGGACCTATTGAGCCCACACACCAATTTTGGTGAAGACCCATCCACACCACTGCGAAGTAGTTACATGGACATACAACAGACAGTACTATTATATTTATATAAGTTTCTCGCGATATCGTTTTGGATGACGAATGTAGTATTATATTATTGTTGGTAGTATGAGTATTTGGAAGTTATTACAACTCAGAGTGGTTGGAATGGCAAATTCAGTGACGTATATAACGCCGTAGCATAACTACGTGCTCTGAGAATCAAATGATCCCGTAATATTATGCTATTAACTCTATTACAATCAGGAACAGATTTTGTCGAGTGCACACATGCACATTCATGGGCACTGATCTCGACTTTAATATAAGGGGGACCAAGTAAGAATAATATTGCATGACGTTAATTATGAAAAAGATTATAGTGACCAGCAGAGGGAGACGTTTCACACTATTCGGTAATTTTGACAGCTGTGTTTGATTGCGTGTCATCGTTTGCAAAAATATAATCATATAATTGTTATAATAATAATAATAATGGTGATGATAGTAGAGATAATAATCTTTCAAGATACTGTTCTATAAAAAGAAATAATGTTACTATCTTTAATATTTTACCAACCAGGTTCTTCCTAATATGTGTTCTGGAGCATAACTCTTTTTTTTTCTTCTCAGTACAATAACATAAGACGATAAAAATTAATAATGACATTTAAAGTATTTCATAATTCCAGAATCCTCCACTGAACACTTCGATATTGCCGAAGTGAAATCGGTATAGGGCAATCGAGACATTCCAAATCGCGCCCTACGCGAAGTATATAGTGCACTACTTTGGCCGACAGCCATATTTAATGGCATCCTAATGCTTTGGGGAGCATACGATGTTCACATCGGTGCACCTTAAATGTACCCCTTAACGAAGTATACAAATGATGTACACTTTCCGTTATTAAGTAGCCACGTCTTCTAAAACTATCAAATAAAAATGGCGGAAGCAACTCTATTAAAATGTGTACGAATATGTTTTGAAACAAAACCGTTAAAAGTTACTTCTTAGAAAATGCTAAAAACACCGATTTTACTTATTTGTTTAGATACCAGCATGAAAAAAAAGATAAAACGGCCTTGTTGAAGCTTAAATAAGCAGTAATTTTGTGCAAACTGTCTGTTTGTTTGAAGTTAAGCACAAAGCTACATAATGGGATATCTGCGTCCTGCCCACCACGGGTATCGAAACCCGGTTTCTAGCATTGCAAGTACGCAGACATACCGCTGTGCCACTGGAGGCCCGAACTGTTCTAAAACTTAATTAAATGCATCGCAGATATTTGGAGTAGATTAAATGCGGAGAAGTTGTTTTATTTGTATTCTATTTTTATAAAGCGAAGAGGTAGTGCAGCCTGAATTCTGGAATTATGAAATACTTTAAATGTCATTATTGAATTCTGGAATTATGAAATACTTTAAATGTCATTATTGAATTCTGGAATTATGAAATACTTTAAATGTCATTATTCAGTGTGATTTACAGAATTTGCTAACTGTATATGTAAAAGTAAGTGCCCTACATGCTTCCATATTGGGTGTATATGTAAAAGTACGTGCCCTACATGCTTCCATAGGGGGATTTTACTTATGAAAGTAAATAACATTTCGCGGTATTGCGTATTGAAATACAGTAGTTATAATGAATTATTTAATCTGCATAAACTGTCACTGAGTAATTCGCCCTAAAAAACATGCAATTTTCCGTTAGTATTTCAACTGATGTTTTTTTTTATAATTTAAGTTGTTGAATTATATCAAATTCATTATAGTTTGAAATAGTGTAAACTATACGATTAACTATTTAAATTGTACTAAAGTCTTAGTATTAAAATGTTAGTCTCATAGTCAAGGTAAGCTATAACTATAGCATTTTGTTACTCACAGCTTATCAAACGACTCTTTATACGGACAGCGTTTTCGAAGAGCTATACCGAGGATGATTCGGCTAAATGAATCTCTTGAAAATACGAAATTTTCTTCTCCCATTTTTGCTGCTTGAAATTCCAATTGTCCCTGGACGTTGATGTAGGCATATTTACTGTTTAGGGTTTTCATCAAACCAAAACTATCGCTTTGCACAGTGTTACTAGGGTCTTTTTGGGTTGACTCTCCTATAGCACCATAAACTGGATCCTTCGGATTCTAAAAAAAAAGAAGTAAATTTTGCAACTTATACATCTATGTTCTGCAATGTAATGAATTGTTGTGCAACACATTTAAATTTGCGTTCATTTTCTTTTTGTTCAAAGTTATATCAAATGCTGAAGGGGAAGAAAAAACATCAAATTTATGGTCCAAAAAGATGACTGTGGTTTATATACAAACTAACAATATATATATATATATATATGTTTTTATTATAAGTAGCTTAGAATCCAGACCCATGATACATCTACAATCCGATTTGTATAAATGTTATAACTTTGCACTTTACTTCCATGATTAAGTCATGTTATTTCAAAAATTGTACTGTTACTGATAACTATGTGCTTTTAGTCGTAAATTGTCAGTCCTTATTTGCGCTAAATCTAATGTTAATTAATCTAAATATTATATTTGTTTGGTTTTAGAATTACTCTATTAGAATTATATTAATTCTTATTATACTTATCATTTTGTTTTAATATCATCCCAATTTCAAGTTCAAATATATTTTAAAATGTCCCTGTACCTTTCCGTAGCCCCCCCCCCAGTGGCACAGCGGTATGTCTGCGGACTTACAACGCTAAAATCCGGGTTTCGATACCCGTGGTGGGCATAACACAGATAGACCATTGTGTAGCTTTGTGCTTAATTACAAACAAACAAACTTAAAAAAGCATAAGATTTATAATTGAAAGAGAAATATTTTTAACTAGAAGAAGATATACTCCTAAACATGTTCAAACAGAAACTTATATCATGTGATTTGTTATTAAGTCTTTATTCTCCAGCCCATTGTGTAGCTTTGTGCTTAATTACAGACAAGCAAACAAACAAACCTTTCCGTAGAGCTTATGTTCAGCTCGATTAGTCAAGATTTAAATATGCATATATGAAATATGTAGCAATATAATGAAGCGACTTTATTTTATTTGACCATATTTTTATAAAAAATATGTTAAGAAACTTTGGGACAAGAGTATTTTAATATAGACCACAGTTAATAAACAACGTAAACCAAGTTTCTCTTGAATTTTCCAGTATAATTCATTAATTATTTTGTTAATATACTATTTTACAACATGCCTAAAAGCTATTTAGGGTTACCAATAAAATTATTCATGAATACTTTTAACTGCCCTTACCAAAAGTTTCTCTTCAAGAAATGTCCCTTTAAGGGAACCGCAACTGTATCTCCCTTGTGAAACTTCTTTCTTTAAAGCATTCACTGTATCTATTGGTTGTTCTTTCGTCAAAACAGTCATGTAAGACGTCAGCGTACCAGCGTATAATGCAATAAAAACTACTGCAAAGAGCCACCAACCAGCCAGAAACACTCTTACACTATACACTTTCTTCAAGGGTATTTTGCCACCTAAGCAAAAGTAAATAAATAGCTTTATTCTAGTGCGAAGGTGCACAAATCTGAGCTATGTTCAGTATAGGGATCGAACAACAAATTCTAGCATTATAACCTCTTAAACAAAATTAAAGTGTAACGTGGTAGAAAAAACCAATAAAAATTGGTTTATTGGGGATATTATGTATAATCTAACCACGTGGAGGTAGCAAAATTTGGGAATTTATTCAACTTCTCAATTCCAATATACAAACGTAGCTTTAATCTCCCTCCCACTTAAAATCTTAACATATAAAACAAGATCTATAACAACAAACCTAACTAGTTATATCTTAACTTGTTTTTAGATACTTTTCTGTAATAGTCTTTGAGGTGTATGAATAAGAGCTTGTAATTTCTCTCTGTGTTTAGGGTCAGTCCTAGCAAAATTGAAAAAATTCTATTTCTAAAAAAAAAAAGAAATAATGATCTGTAATACTAGTTATCGCTTGATATTAAGTGATATTTGTATTAAATTTTGAAATCACTGCCTAAATTTCAGCTATTTATATATGAACTTTGATTTCTTTTCTTGTTTCCTCACCGAATCTGATAAAGACGGAATTTTGGCAAGACTCTTGAGCTATGCTAATCAGCTATTAAGACTATAAATGACTTTTCCACCATTTTGGACAAAACTTGTCGAGGTTAAAGTTTAAAATGAACCTTACAAAACCTCCGTAATTAGTTAGTTAGTAGGCTCGGATGTTAGAATATTAGAACTCAAAATAAGCTCAAGCTATTACAACCAAAATATTCAAAACGGGGAATTTAAGTTATTTCCCATTTCTCAAATTATACTGAGAAATGGTTATAGATTTATAATAATACGGTTATGTATTATTTGAGACCTTTACAGGATACTTTCGGCAATGACTTCTCATATGAGGTCAGTAGTTAATGTTTTATAATAGTGCATAAAAAGGAAGTTAATATTTTCCTAACAGTGTCTTCATTACTATGTAAGGATATGTATTTCTTAACTTACGTTTTTATTTTTAGTTCATCACAAATGAACTTTTAAGGTACATAATACTATCTGAAATAGCTTCTAAGTAATCGACGCTTCAGCAAGTGTTAACTCTTTCTTTAACGGCGTAGGGAATTTGTGATAACTTTCACTGGTGTGTATATGGCTTTAGTTAAAAAACTGGTCTAACCTTGAGCAACCAGACACCCCCACATATACCATAATGCAGCAATCCACGGATTAGCTGGATACCACTCTTCCATCAAATTGGAAGTAAGGGTTAAAAATGTCGTCGCCAAGACCAGAGAGAGAGAAACACCTAACCAAACCTAAAAATAATATGAAAATACAAAAATACCGTTACCAGTTACGTTTTTAACAAAATACAACACGAACAAGAGAACAGCAACAGCATAAATATAATTATGGATTTAATATTACTCATTAGTTAGTATCACCGAATTCCACGATAATACTGTCAAAACATTTGAAGCAAAATAGCATACAAAATCAACTATGGCTTTTTTTAAATCGTAAATAAATCAATTAAAATTTAAAACATGTAGAAATGTTTTGTTTTTAAGTTTCTTGCGCTGCAGGAATTCCATAGTTTAACTTCTAAACTACTTTATTTTACTCTAATACTGTGAGTCAGAAAAGTTAAGGTGAAAACGCTCTCATTATCAACCTTGATTTAAACTAAACCAATAAACGAAAAACAGCTTCACAGAAAGTTGAGAATTTCAAATTTTTTTTTATAATTTTATAATCACTCCTAGTTATCCTGTTTTAATGCAGTGTGTTTAACGGAACGAAACGTTGTAGAAAGATGTGTCTAATCAACATTTCCTCTAATAAAATGAATTATATCTTCCAGTAGCTATAATATAAAACTCTCCGACTGTCCCTTTTCTATATTAAAGATAATAGTTTACTTTATTTATTGTTAATTCAATTCGGCGGGAAGATATTCATGGATACCTTTATGTATATATATATTCAATAGTGATATGAAAGTACACCTTAAACACATTTATAAACTTTAAATGCGATTTTTGATTATGAACTGGAGAAACATAAGCTACTTTTATAAGTATTTTGTATGACATATATAGATCAGCTTCCTATTATGCATCTCTCCTAATATATCCACCCACTTATATATATATATATATCCCAAAATAACCATAATCCCAAATATACAAATATCTACCCACGTATATCCACCCAGTTATATAGGGTTGGTTGCATTATATTAAAACGATTATGAATATGCATATCAACAAGTTAAGTATCAACCACAGCTAATATAAAGTTGGGGTGGAACGGGATGTATTAGAACTACATTTTTGTAATTTTTTATTTTTTTTTAGATTGTGGTAAATAGTTTGATGCCCCCGAAATATGATATCTTTTGGGAAGGGTATGAAACAGCCCTTTCTAACGCAAGATTTTCATACCCACATAAAGATGTGTTCAGATCGGGGATGTAGCATTTCCAAAATGTGGATATCCCTTGTTCTAAATAGAATTGGAAAACAAAGGAATATGAGTAACAGGAACTTAAAAAAATAAATAATTGTAACAAGTCTTACCTCAGCCGTAGCAAGCATAACGCGGCGTCTTGTAATAGGTGAGAATCCATAAACACAAATATCAAAGGCAAAAGCCATCCACATGCCCCAGGCAACAGTACCCAACATAATCAAGAAGGATTTCTGCCTTAAAATGTGAACATAATGTGTACACAAGTTGCTTCCACGACATATCTGTTTACCCGTCGCATGCTCCGAGAAATTGGAAAATGAAACAGATATCTACGCTATTCCCTACGAAAACATATCTACAAAGTCGCCGGATACAACGCCTATGGAGTTCTGTGGGATTAGACTTTTGAAACAAGCGCTGGAAAACCGTCTTTCTCGTACACTAGATGGATTAAGGGAAAGTGCAGAAGGGATGTGTGTGCTTTAATGAGGACAGTCTTAAGACGTAGCTTTTTGCAATAGAAGCTGTGCTGCAGGGCTGTTGTCAAGATGCACGGTCGTCAGAAAAAGCATTACCGGCCGTAGCGAAATGGACTGTAACGACACGTGCTCTAAGTATGTACACATTTACTCCCCCTCAAATATACAGAATTATATTTACATATCCACTCGTTGAAACACACACACACATATATGGGGGACGGAGATTATATATCATTCATATCATTAGAAAAATATATATGCTTGCTCTTCATGCAGCAGGTTGTTGGTGGATTTAACACCAGAACCACTAAAAACATGGATTTTATCTATTGAAGTTGTAGAAATCCATCCAACTAAACTAAGGCAACAATCCACATGGGAAAAGGCAAATACCACAACAGAGAGAGAAACAAACGAATGAGAAACTAGGAGAACCCGTTCTTTAAAATTTACACCGTTTATCTTTCAAATTTACACGTCGTTTGTTAATATTTGCCATTTGCAATTTTAAGACATAAAATCAATCTATTTCCGGTCTGTTGCATTAAGCCTTTCACTAATCTGCTTGAAGTATCACATCTACTTGGTACAGCTAATAATACAATGAAACATGTGTGTAGATAAGGGCTAATGGTGCATGTGTGTATGTGTGTGTGTGACGAGGGGGAAGGTGGAGGGCGATTGCGTCTCACACATTGCACCCATATATGTAAAAAAAAAACAACATAAATTTCAAATAACCTATCTAAATCAAACTTTTGTTTAAAAGATTTTTGAGCGCACAGGGATTCGAACTTCAAAAGTAGCCCACCCCTTTTACAGGTTTTTGTCTAACTTAGCAACGTATTTCTTACAACTCTGTTTGTCTAACTTAGCAACGTATTTCTTACAACTCTGTTTAACTTAGTAACGTATTTCTTACAACTCTGTTTGTCTAACTTAGCAACGTATTTCTTACAACTCTGTTTGTCTAACTTAGCAGTGCATTTCTTACAACTCTGTTTAACTTAGCAACGTATTTCTTACAACTCTGTTTGTCTAACTTAGCAGTGCATTTCTTACAAATCTGTTTAACTTAGTAACGTATTTCTTACAACTCTGTTTGTCTAACTTAGCAACGTATTTCTTACAACGCTGTTTGTCTAACTTAGCAGTGTATTTCTTACAACTCTGTTTAACTTAGTAACGTATTTCTTACAACTCTGTCTAACTTAGCAACGTATTTCTTACAACTCTGTTTGTCTAACTTAGCAGTGTATTTCTTACAACTCTGTTTAACTTATTAGTGTATTTCTTACAACTCTCTCACCTGCCAAGAGAAAGGTTTTATGATAGCCAGAGCTCGACGTTTGGCTGTGGGTGCCTTGGTGACGAAAGACACTGATTCATAAGCGTAAGGTATTGAGAAGTCGACTACTTCTTTTCTATCACTCGTGATGACTATTCCATCAACAGAGAGGTCAGCTTCCTGTACAAATAAACATTGACATGAAAAAACACTCTTCAAAATAGGATTTCATGCGAGACAAATAACTTTTTGAAATGTAGTGCTAAGGATAATCAACGAGTAATGGGTACAACAAACAACGTAACATTGTGTGAATATGTACAAATTCACGAGTAATGGGTACAACAAACAACGTAACACTGTGTGAATATGTACAAATTCACGAGTAATGGGTGCAACAAACAACGTAAAATTGTGTAAATATGTACAAATTCACGAGTAATGGGTACAACAAACAACGTAACATTGTGTGAATATGTACAAATTCACGAGTAATGGGTGCAACAAACAACGTAACACTGTGTGAATATGTACAAATTCACGAGTAATGGGTGCAACAAACAATGTAACATTGTGTAAATGTGTACAAATGAACGAGTAATCGGTGTAACAAACAACGTAAAATTGTGTGAATGTGTACAAATTCACGAGTAATCGATGCAACAAACAACGTAAAATTGTGTAAATGTGTACAAATTAACGAGTAATCGGTGCAACAAACAACGTAAAATTGTGTGAATGTGTACAAATTAACGAGTAATCGGTGCAACAAACAACGTAAAATTGTGTGAATGTGTACACTTTAATCAAGGTGCTCCAATCTAAATGCCAAAACTCTTCCTGTTTTTCTGGTCATTTGAAGTAGAGCTCAAGAAATAACGTTTGTTCCTGTATTGGGATTTTTCACGATAATCTGAAAGAAACCTATGTGTATTCAGTTGATAGTGAAGCGTTAACTTATGAGCGGTCCATATTTGCTCACCATGGAAAGACATTTAAAGAACCACTCTCAGTACAAGAGAGCAAATTTATTTTATGATCACATTGAGCAAAGTCAGATGACAACCCTTAGATAATCCAGGGCTGATGACATTGAAAACTACACCATTTTGGCCAATGAGGAAATGAGGATAAGACTCATCGAAGGTTTTAATTCGATTTACTTTTTAAAAAAAAATTGTAATTAACATATAAATGCGTATCTACAAAGAATTTGTTCTACCACAAGTGGCGATAAGACAACAATTTGTGTTAGTACACCAATATTTAATGAAGCCCATATACGATGCTGATGCTACCTGCCAAGTCAAATAACAGTTCGTCATCTTCGTACACTTTAAACGGTCCTCCGGTGAGTTAGCGATACACTAATGGACTTACAATACAAAAATACGAAGTTCTATTCTCCGCAGTGGACAAAGCGCATATAGCCCATAGTGTAGCTTTGCGCTAAAGTAAACAAACAGACTCTTTATGCGGTGAAAATTCTCATTTGGAGCTCATCAGTAATCTAATTAACGCGAACCCTGACCCGAACGTATAAGATTTACATATTGAAGACTCTGCGTGCGTTATCACACAGGTTTAGTAATTATCCAGTAAAAAAAAATAAAAAAAAATAGGTAAAGTAAACAGGAATTTCATTTAGCCAATTGAAACTTCGGTGACGCATTATAGTGTCTAGACCTTGACAATAATTTCATGTCGGTCCATACTTTACTCGGGAACAGAGTGCAGATAGCCCCCTATGTAGTTTCGCGTTAACTCTATTAATTTTAAAACAACACACGTGAAATCTGTTCGAAGCTTCGTTCATGTATTGGTTATTATTAAACACAAAGTTGCTCAAAATGATATCTACGCTCTTCCCACCACGGGTATCTAAACCCGACATTTTTCGTCGTAAACCTGCTGACATACCGCAGAGTCACTTGGGTTCTCTTGTCTTATGTCTAATTACAGTATCTTTGTAACTTATTGCTATTAACAACATACCCACTATTGTTGTAAAATTTATTGACGTAGTCCAACCTACATAACGTAACTCACTAAAAACTTAATCCAATAATAATTGCATTTTCTCGTTAGTTGTTTTGTAAAATATGATCACATTCATGATCATTCAATTCAGTTGTATGTATTTTATATTTTCTTTCGGTATTTACACGTAGGTTACCTTTTTTAATCGAAGCTGTGTATTGTCATTTCACATGTTATTTATTACCTCACTTTTTGTCTGAGTTATATATTAGTCACATGCGGAGCTATGATTTTCTGAGTTATATATTAGTCACATGCGGAGCTATGATTTTCTGAGTTATATATTAGTCACATGCGGAGCTATGATTTTCTGAGTTATATATTAGTCACATGCGGAGCTATGTTATACATTAGTCACATGCGGAGCTATGTTATACATTAGTCACATGCGGAGCTATGATTTTTTTTTACCTTTCGTTGAACCATACCGATCATACCGCTCCAAGTTTGATTTGATAATTGAATTCCCCATTCTCCATCTAACGGCGTTTTGATGACATACCTGAAAATTAATTTCATTTAGTATTAAAAATATAAGATATCTGAACATACTGTGCAATACAGGAGTCTTGTTAACTATGATAAAAATATCACATTTTCTCATTCTGTTCTAATCCTGGTTGGAATAAAAAGATTCTCGTTCTCTAGGATACAGGAGAGACTTGATACTTAATTCTAATTGCAAGGATTGTTTTTGTTCCTCAGTGGATCAGCGATAACTTTGGGCACTTACAACGCTAAAATCCACGGTTCGAGTCTTTCCCATGAACAGAGTGCAGATATCTTAATTTGTGGCATTGCGCTATAAAAACAAACAAACTATTGTTTCTTGTTAATCTTTAATTAAAACACGCATCATAATTCCTAAACGTCCCCAAATTATTCAGTGATTTATCGAGGAAAAACACTATCAATTATTTAGATGATACAATAGAGTGATAACTACTTTCAGTTATATATTTTGCGGTTGGATTTTGTTTGTTTGGTTTGAATTTCGCGCAAAGCTACACGAGGGCTAGCCGTCCCTAATTTAGCAGTGTAAGACTAGAGGGAAGGCAGCTAGTCATCACCACCCACCGCCAACTCCTGGGCTACTCTTTTACCAGCGAATAGTGGGATTGACCGTCACATTATAACGCCCCCACGGCTGAAAGGGCGAGCATGTTTGGTGTGACGGGGATTTGAACCCGTGACCCTCAGATTGCGAGTCGAGCGCCCTAACCACCTGGCCATGCCGGGCCATTGTGGTTGAATAATATTTCATTATGAATTGAAATATTATCTGATTCACTTCAATATATCTTTGAAATATAATCTCGAGTTAACTGACAATCAAAATTTCATTTCAAGTTACCAACAAGAAAGCTTGTATAGTTTTGTGCTTAACAATAAACAAACTTTCTTCTTGATAATTTGGCACCGCGGGTATCGAAAACCGATATTTAGCGTTAACAGCCCTCGGGCATTTGAGCCAACAAATAGAGAATGTTTTCGATTGTTTGTAGAGTGGTGGTGGTTCCATTGTAAGTAGTAATCTAAACTTCCTTTCTGCATTTAAGGTCAAACATTAGCATCCCAGGATGCAAATCGAAAGATCCAAGGTCCGAGCCATGATATGCTGCTAAACACGTTTCATACTGTCAACTGATGCGGGGAGCATTATAAAACTGATTAGTGAATGCCACTATTTGATTAAGAGTAGCTTCAAAAGCAATAGGAGATGCTTATCAGTCACAAGTTAGGGATGACTGTGTCTGAGCCTTATTAATCTCTGGCCTGGTTCTTTGGCCCATATGTCGAATAAGATGATATTCAGGTTCAGAATTCCAAATACTAAATTTTCTTCGTATGTTTTTATACTTAGGTGCATTATGCCAACTAATAAAAAATAAGAATTTAAAAGTATTTCATCATGCTGCTTTCACTAAATAAGTGGTCAAAAATTATCGTTATTGTGATAAAAATAAATGCACTGATTTAAAATAACTCGATTATCTAGTTAAATTATAATATTTTTCATTGACAGATTACAATGATTATCTGTGTATAAGATATAGCTTAGACACAAGGTTGGTTTATTTATTTAAGTTGAAATATGATTTAACACCATTGGTTTCTAGTCTTGATTATAAATATATATTTTTTTTCTTGGTTAAATCCTGAAACTAATCTTCGGTAAACATTAAGGAATACTTTTGCATTCTATGATTTTTTACATATCGCATGTATTAGTTAAGTTCAATTGAGATAAGTTTGTTTGTTTGTAGTTAAGCACAATGGGCTATCTGTGCTGTGCCCACAACGGGTATCAAAACCTGTTTTCTAGCGTTATAAGTCCCCAGACTTACCATTGTGCCCCAGGGGAGCATTAAGATAAATATCATAAGATACAGTATTTATATTTAATAACGTACTTTGAATCTTTAAGTAATTTTTGAAATTTCATAATTTTTAAGCCTAAATCTGTACAAAGGGATATTTCTGATAGCGATGGCCTACAACAGGCATCGAAGTCCGAATTTAGTACTATAACAGTAAAAACAATGAAGCTTACAGATGACCCATAGAAGGAACATAATTTTTTGTATTAATTATCTATGTTCTCGTTATTAAATGTGAACTTTGCAATATGTAAATTGGCCATATTATTCTCCAACGTAGCTTAAACTGTTATTAATTTCATATACGTTTATTTTATATAATGTTTTATATCATTAAAATATTTGTAGTATGGTTTTCTATTTTTTTATTGTCAATAAGTATAATATAATTATTTAATGATGTTAGTCTAAGTGCGAAACTAAAGTTCACAAAATAAAATGGTGAAAAGTTGGCAGCCATCTCAATATTGGCAGGAATATGGCACGTTGAGATATAAAAATATATTGTCACTTGATCCACCTTTCATCCATTTTTCGAAGAGTTTTGTGGAAAGGCAGTTTAAATGAGAAAGCATGATTTACCTGAAGTTCATAGTACTGGCGAGGG